AAGAGCGGAGATTCAGGTGGAAAAAGGGTCCCAGCGTTCTCGCATACCTCACTCTTCTAGCGGGTCAAACTTCCTGGTTTGTTTTCCGCTATTTCAGTCATAAAAACAAAACAAGCTGGCCTCCTGTCTGCGGCACTTTTTGCCGTCAGCAAAAATTTGGGAGAGGAGCCGCGGAGCGTCCGTGGAGGGGGCGGGGACGTCTGGAGCCGAGATATTGCGTTGATTTTATGCAGTATTTTTTTTATGCGAGGCCTTTCAGAATCTATAACGCAGAGGTATTATTTTGAGGTTTTAACAGGAATAGATGGAGTGCAACTTTTCTACTTCTGTTGTTTGCTGTTTCTAAAAAAAAATGCATAACGATATAACAGCTTTCATTGATTTATTTCAAATGTGAAACAGTGTCTAGCCTGTCAGGCGTGTAAAAAAAAAAAAAAAAAGAAACAATTATTTGAATCGTATCGTGTTGTATTCTTGAGTATCAAAAATAATCGAATCGTTGGGTCAGGAAATCGATACTGGATCGAATCGCCATGATGGATGTGATTTACACCCCTAATAACCACTATGTAGCAGAGATCCTGTTGTTGTTTGAACACAGAAACTGGCTTAAACTGGCTCTGTTCATCTCCTCCATAAAGGCATCCAAAGTTCCCATGTCTTGTCGGCCGTTTCTTTCCCAGCCTTTTGGTTTAGATGAACAGACTTGATTTGGTAGGTTTGTGGTTCTGTTGAGCTCTTCCCGTGTTCAGCTGGATTAAAGAGAACTCTCTGTGATGTTTAAAGCTTTGAACGTTTTTTATAACCTAACCTGAATTCTTTATCCACAAACGGTATTCTTTGTTCCTTGCCCATGATCCTGTTTGACCACTAATGTTCTCTAATGACCCTCTAAGGCTGTCACCGAACAAAATTACATGATCCTGCCCTCTACAGCTTTTTACTTTTGGATTTTATTCCTCTTCAGAGCCCAGGTCACATTTTAGTCTAAACAAATAAAAAATGAGCAATTTCATCATTTGAATGATGCTTGTCGCTGATTGGTTTCTCATGGATGTTATTGGTTTTAATGTGAAAAAATGTGGAAACACTTTGTGAGTCACCGCACCGCAAGTGTTTAATTAGCCCGGAGATTTAGGAACGTTTCTTGGAGGCATGCATGTGTAACCGCATTTGACCCTTTTGTTGCAGGACTGTTTGAGGGCGTGCCAGGAGCAAATCGAGCGTGTGCTGGCCTCCAGCCTGCAGCAGGGCCAGCAGTACGGGCCAGAGACCGGCATCAGCGGCGGCAACAAGTCAAGGGAGCAGCAGGATCAGTCCAGCACCCCCACTGACGTGCGTGATGTCAACTTATGAGCTCCCATCGCCGCCTGACTCGGCCAACGCGTGCCTGCTTACCAATGAACTGACAGGAGCATGAGGCTGGGAGGAGAGAGGGGGGCATGAGCTGCCAGTATCAATTTTAAAATACCCCCCTTCAGCGATGGCGTGACAATCTATGAACTTTTAGAAAATAAGAAATTAGTAGTTTTTCTCCTTTGTTTTGTTTTTTTGCCCCATTCACACCTGGTTTGGGTCTATTTTCACCTATTTTTGTACATGTAACTTGTAACGAAACAAGCTATTTAAGAAAAGAAACAGACTTGATAGTGCCTTAGGTGTCAAAACGGCAACCTGAAAATATTTTTCATACTTGAAAATTGCATAAATATATGAGATATATCGAATGATGTACATTTAGCCAGCATTTATAACTCTTTAACCAACTTTAGTTAGTAGTTATCAATTTAGTTTTACTGGCAATTTCCATTACTTGGAAATCCACATAGCAGTAATTAAAGCAGGGGAGCGGATTCGTAGCTAGCTGCTCCATCTATCATACTGTGCACCTGTAGCACTGCTTATTATTTATGCAGAGGAGTGCTGGTGAGTGAGTGGGCTGTGCCTGCTCACAGAGGAAGGATGTGAAAGGAAACAGGTCTGAGTTGTGGAGCTGCCGTTTCCAAAAGCTGTTGATTCCTTGGAGTGGCGTCTGAATTTACCATGGCCACCTGTGTTGTGTTGTCGGAGCGGTTATAAGTGTAAAATAGTTTGTTTGGAAGGGGTTTAGCGTTCATAGTTTTTTAAAACACAAGGATTTGCAAGTTGTCTAAGAGTGAACAGCTGTGTTTCTAGAAGTGGAGGGTAAAAGAAAGCCGGTGGAAAGTGGATTAAAAAGTGTGCAAAAAGTATGGGGTGCAAAAAAAAATGCAAAGTGAGGATGAGAGGATTCTTTTAAGCTTTATATTTCTGCAGGATTTTTCTCTTGCAGGAAATCAGAGTGACAGGAGGAGAAATGGCTCATTTTTGTTTCTCCTGTTATCAATTACACCATTGGTCCTTCTGTAGAGAGGGCGACATGGAACGATATTGATGCACTTTTAAAACACACTCCTTAAGTTTCGGTAAGGGGATGGTTTGCGAGGAAAAGTTAGGAGTCATTTGTTTTTGTTCTATCTTTTCTTTTAAGTTATTTGTTTTTTTTCCTGGGCTGGATTCCCATGGGGCGAAGCATGTTGTCTTGAATGCTTTGCCTCAGTTGGTGAATAGACTTATTGAAAATCACCCTCCTAATGTAAAAGTTTGTAAACCAAGGCAAGCCAATCAGATTTAAGTCTGCTTGTGTAATCCTAAACTTGAATTTATTTCATTTTCAGATCATTTAGCCCCATCCCATTAGATCCAATAGTTACATCTCTATGTTTTGTGTTGATTTCTTCTTTTAACTGCAGTTTAAAGGCAGCCCTTTTTTTTTTTTTGTAAATAAATAAAAAAAAATATCTCTTGATAAACAAAAATGCTTGAAAACCTTTTAAAATGTTTCCAATTAGCTCTGATTTCTTTTTCAAATGTGCAAAAAGAGCCAAATTGTTTTAAGGAGTGCTTTAAAGTCAAGCATGTTCGATGCTTTTAGATTCCCAAAGTAAAAAGAAATGATCTACAACATTCTTTGCTGCTATTAAGCTTTCTCTTTCTTTGTCTTACACAAAAAAAATGCCTTATCGTCATTCACTTGTGTGCTGCTATATTGTAATATGTTGTACATGTAACAAGTGTGCTTTTCTCTTTTGTCAACGTACCAGAGGGAAAAGGGAGCAGAGTTTTGATGCGGGACTGGAAATCCTTTTTTTTTTGATCAGCATGTTTTATGCATTTATTGTTTTAATCGTTGTAATCTTTGTTCTATCTTCGTTCTATCTATATTCTTGCTGCTTCTTGTGTATCTCAGGATAATCGAATTGGATAGACACAGCGAGAGGCAATCTCACACTTACCTCATCACACGTCGTATCACTCACAATCACTTCACTCCTGATTCGTCTGACGGGTTTCGCTTTTTCTTTTTTTTTTTCTTTTTTGTTGTTCCTTATGTTAAGAAATTCACCTAACAGATCCCACCGATTTAAAAGTGCCTCCTGCCTACCTTCAAATGGCTAATTTTCAAGTCTGGTGCTAGCTCAAATAAATACAATAGTGTGTTTTATTCATGTTTTTGATAGGCATGCAAAAAAAAATAATTATTAGGGGAACAAGTTTGGATCAGTTCAATGAAATGCATTGTCATTTGTTTTTGAGGTACCCATTTACTCAATTTTAGAATTGTTTGTCGTGGTTCATACAAATCCTTTCCCATTTATCCCTGTGTGCAACCACCTGTGTACCTCAATTTGTTCTCAATAAATTGGCTAAAATCACTGGTATGGGTTGTCTTTCTAATTTAAGGCCACCAGGGGGTGCTAAAGCAGCCAGAAAGAATGTACTGAAAAAAGGTTCCAGATTAAATCATTTATATCTTATAACACATTAAAAAAATAAACATTCAAGTAATATTTTAAATTTTTGCATAATACTATGAATAACAGTTTCCCAACATTCAGATTATTAACCAGTTGGGGCTTGAGAACAATATAGATCACAGATTACGGATAACAGACTTAACCAAATTTTGTTATTTTGTATACACAGAGTGTATAATCATGTAAACAGTATAGGAGAAAAGGAAAATCAGTTTAAAAAATAATAATGGTGCAGAAGGGCAAATAATATGGAAAGGTTCAGTGCAAAATAGATATGCTGCAAAATGCAACAAAATTCCATTTTGTACAGCGTACAAAATGGAATTGATAAATTGATATACATTTTTTTTTTTTTATGCTTAAAGTCATTTTAAATTACGGTCTAACTGGCATTAATTCTTTATGACTGACTCTGCAATTAAGAAAGTTTAGAATCGAATTTTTATTTATTTATCCTTTATTTAACCAGGTAATACCCATTGAGATTAAAAATCTCTTTTGCAAGGGAGACCTGGCAAAGATAGGCATCAAAATTTCATCACATCATTACATACGTACAAAGACACACACATAAAAGCTAAATATGCAGTTACAATAAAATTTCAATTAAAACATTGCCATGTGAGGGAGTCCAACTCAAAACATCTAATTCTCAGCTTAAAAGAATTCAAAGGAACCAATTTACTAAGTTTCATGTTATTTTGCAGCAAATTCCATGTAAAGGGAGCAGAGTAAGCAAAGGCCTTTTTACCCAGCTCAGTACTGACACGTGGGACAGAAAACAAGACAACAGCGTGAGAACGGAGAGAGTAATGACCAGTACTTTTTTTCATAAGAAGTGAACATAAGAGAATACATGAGAATACAGCTCACAGTGATGGGTGCAAGCTTTACAATTAGTAATAAATCTCAATGATGCATGATAGGCTGTGTCAATCATCTGCAGGCATTGAGCAGATGAATGCATATATCATATATCACCATAGTCCGCACAGTTAAAAAAGTGGATGCTACCAACCGGTTTTTTTTTTTTACATTAAAAGAAAAGCACAGCTTATTTTGAAAGTAAAAACCCAATTTTAGTCTCAACTTTCTCACTAGACAATGAACATGAGGCTTAAATGATAGGTGGTCATCAATACCAAAATCAGCTTAACGATCATCAGATCAACTGGAAGATAGCACTCCTCTTCTGTAACCCGTTTGTGAATAAACAGGTCAATTGTTCTCATACTTGTTTAATAAAATCACTTGAACAGCCCTTTTTAACATTCCACACTTAAAAAAAAAAAAATATATATATATATATATATATATATGTGTATTGGATCAATATCAGTACGGAAAATGTATTAGGACATTCCTATCTACATTTGTTTGGGGAAACAGACATGAAAAGTTTGGAGTTATCTTGTCTCACCATCACAAAATTTAATGTACAGGATTAAACAAACTTTACTGATGAGATTTGCATCAAAGTTTTTTGGTCATGAATGACGCAGAAGAAGCCGGTTTTATGCCTGGAAGGAAGCTGTGAAACAGCATGCCATCATCATGGTGATGCTGTGGGCCTGTTTGTCCATCTGACCCATCTCCCATAGAAGATAAACTTATGTATTCCTGATTATAGAGTCATGCTTTACATCAGTGCCCCCTGTTTTCTAGCTTCTCGTTCTCCTCTGCTCTTCAGGTGATCTTGTTTGAACAGCCAGGCCCAGGCATGCTGGCAGAGTTTTTAAAAGTCCTTAATTGCTGTTGGAAATATGTTAAGCATGTTGTTGGACGAAAAGAAGTTTTACTGTGACATGCATTTGTAACTGCTGGTATTGGAACAAATGAACACCTAACCCACCTTCCAGTCAGATCAACCAGTACAAACAACCAGTTTATTCCCTGAGGATCCAGGGTCTAATTTATTAAGCTTCTATTTGTACAAAATGTGGCATGTAACCAATGGTGATGGTGAGAAGTAAGTCATCACAGAGGAGATCTACACACCTTATTAGGGATGATTGTTAAACTAACCAACACTTATTGAGTAACATCAGCAACTTTCTTACTTGTGCCTATTTTTTTTGTGTGCATACACACACTTCGGTTTGGCCCCTGGCCTTCAAAACACATACTATTTGGATCAGCCTACATAAATGAATATAGTTTCCATGTTTGTTTATTCTTTAATAAAATTGTGTGTTGTGTAAAAAGTGTTTCACACAGAAACAAAACTTTTAAAAATACTTTTTTTTTTCAGTGTTACGCTAAAAATGTGAATTATAAACACAACAGCACTCAACAGCAGCACTTGAAAAAGCTTAAAGCATCAAGAGTCTTTAAAGCTTTGGAGTTTGAAGAGGAATGTATTGATTCTTTGTATTTTGAAAATTTAAAAAGTTTAAATGGGGGGCTTTTTAAAAGGAAATTTATGAATTTGAAATTTTGCAGAAATAATAAAAAAAAATGCTTTATATAAGATTTTATTCTTTTTTTTTTCTTTTTTTTTTTTTTTTAAGGAATTAACCATTATTTAGAAAGTTAGTGGTTTCCCGTTATACTGGAGTTGTGATTTGACAAAGCCTGTTTTTTTTTTATTGCAAAAAAACAACATACATGAACAATATAGATTACAAACATATATAACAACAAAGGGCTTTACAGAACAGAGCTATTATTTTAAAATGTCAAAATGTTTATTTCTATAGCGCCAATTCACAACACATGTCATCTCAAGGTACTTAACAGTTCACCAAATCATACAGTCAAATTGATACAAAGTTTTCTATCTAAGGAAAACCAGTTGATTGCATCGACTCATTGACTCGAATGTGATCCCTCACACTAAGCATGCTTGTAGTGACAGTGGAGAGGAAAAACTCCCTTTGAACAGGAAGAAACCTCCAGCAGAACCAGAATCAATGTGACCGGCCACCTGCTGAGGCCGACTGGGGTCCAAGGAGACAGAAGCAGAGATATAAAAAGCAGCTATTAAAGGCGGTCCCGTCAAGGAAACACACAGCCAGGCAGACAAGTTCCGAGCCAGCTCCCATATCAGAGGATGAAGAGAGCACATCCAGCCAGTCACAGTCAGAGAAACAGGACTACACTGAAAAACAGGCCTATCTCCAACATCTACAAACAAAGGTGTTGATGGCAGCAGCACAGCTGATATTTCTCTCCAGGATGGAGTCACAGCCAAACAGGAACAGACCAGATGAAGCTACTATGAGAAAAAGCAGAGAGAGCAGAACGTTAGAGATTGAACTAACAGATTCTGCAGAATGGGAGAAAAGAGATAGAATGAAGCAGAACGATGAAATGGGGGTCCCTATGTCCTCCAGAAGTCTAAGCCTATAGCAGCATAACTATAGAGATAACTAAGGATAACCTGAGCCACTCTAACTATAAAGTAAGAGTTAAGATTTTTTCGATGAAAAAAATTGACATATCTTTACAGAATATTTTGGTATAATTACAATCCCAAAAAAGATGAACAAGCTTTTCTTCATTGTTAAAAAAAAAAGGTATACATTAGGTCCACATCCCATTCGTATCTTTTTGATAAAAAATGCTTTAACAGGATAAACATTATGAATGACTTAATAGGAAATTTCTCTTACTTTATTGTTTATTAAGTATTTTTTAAGGAGCAAACATAATCTCGTAATAGAATATTTCTTAACCTTTTTTTGGTTGTTTTCTTACTTATAAAAGGACAATCATAATCAATATAAATGGACTCTGGATAAAAACTTGGCACTAAGTAAATTTAACCTGTTGGTAAAGATGATAAAAGCTTTAATCCCACTGGAAATTACGTCACTCACAACAGCATATTCTTTAGGGGTAACAGGAAAATGGAAAAGTGACAGAAAGTCAAAATAAGACAAGGAATGAGCATTTGGATTTAGTAATTGGCTTACAAGCTCCACAGCAATACGTCATGACGTAAGACGCAGCATCTCATGACGCAGGGTTCAATCAGGAAGTTGCCCGAGAGCAGCCGGTGAAAATGTCAACGTTCATCCTAACATTCATACGGCAGTAAGTCGGTCATTTAACGACTTTATTCTGTTTATTTGGTTTTAGTTTGCAGTTGGTTTATTTTTAGCTTATTGTTAAATAAATATAGCCTGAAATACTCTGAGGTAACTGTAACCATCTGCCAATAATGTGATTCATTCACCTTGCTTTCAAACAGTGGCGAGACGCAGTACAACAGAGACAAGCTTCTACAAGGTAATTCAAAATAAAATAATGCGATATTGTTCTTTATTTTTACACTTAAGCAACTTATCCAGTTAAGGGGCAAAAAAAAAAGGTTTCCAAAAATATTTGGTGCAAAAGTAAAAAAGCTTTACAAACTAATCTGTATTCAAATAGATGACACTTTTAGTAAGGGTTAGGCCATGCTTACTTTATGTCAAGTTATTCGGATTTTGATTCTTCTGCTATTCCTTTTTATAGCGCCAATTCACAACACATGTCATCTCATGGCACTTTACAGTTCAGCCAGATCATCCAGTCACACTTATGAAAAGTTTTTCTGTCTAAGGAAAACCAGTTGATTGCATCAACTCATTGACTCAAATGCAATTCCTCACACCAAGCATACTTGTAGCGACAGTAGAGAGGAAAAACTCCCTTTTAACAGGAAGAAGCCTCCATCAGAACCAGGCTCAGTGTGAGCGGCCATCTGCTGAGGCCGACTGGGGTTCAAGGAGACAGAAGCAGAGATACAAAAAGCAGCTGTAAAAGGCAGCCCTGTCAAGAAAACACACAGCCAGGCAGACGAGCTCCGAGACAGCTCCCATGTCAGAGGATGAAGAGAGCACATCCAGCCAGTCACAGAAACAGGACACTGGTGTTGATGGCAGTAGCACAGCTGATATTTCTCTCCAGGATGGAGTCACGGCCAAACAGGAACAGATGAGGCGAAGCTACTATAAGAAAAAGCAGAGAGAGCATAGCATTAGAGATTGAACTAACAGATTCTGCAGAGTGGGAGAATAGAGATAGAAGGAAGCAGAATGATGAAAAAGGGGTCCCAATTCATCCAGAAGTCTAAGCCTACAGCTGCATAACTAGAGATAGCTCAGGATAACCTGAGTCACTCTAACTATAAGCTTTATCAAAAAGGAAAATTTAAGCCCACCCTTAAAAGTAGACAACATGTCTGCCTCATGGACATTGCCCTTTATAGGGCCCTTTATAGGGCAGTCAGTGAAATAATCCAAATTTCAAGCCAATAGTGTTATCGTAATCCAGGATCAGACCTTATTACCTTTGTAACATTAAAAAAGTGGATATTTTGAATGCAAGAATGATTGTCAATGTAATAACAAGAAACGCCAACTTTCCCCGAATATATTAAGAAAAATAACAAAAGTGCTTCTGTAAGAAATTCATGAAAAACATTCTGAGAGTGAAGGGGCTCATCTAATTGGTCAAATGCCAAAACAAGATGTAAAGCCATTTAGCAGTATCTGTGCTGAATAGCTGGCTATATATATTGTGCTTCTAGAACAATGCAAGTGATCAAAAATAGTAACTTGCCGTATAAAGGGTTAACAATGGACTTCCATACTATGTTGAGGTTCTCATGGCCTGACAGTTTTATTGATCTTTCTTAAATCAAATAAGGATGTAAAGCTTAAATTTCAAATCCTAACAAAAGACCATCTCCTTTGTTTACAGCAGGTTAGGGCAGACTCATTGCAGAAGATCCCTTTATTTATGTTTCAAATCACAGCTTGTACCCAGGCCTGAAATAAATTATATTAAACCCCTTAAATATCAAGGGAGACGGAATAAAAAATTAGATTCAAAATGTACTCTCCTATTAAATAGATGACTGTACCACTACACAGTAAAAATATATTTTATTTGTTCAAAATTTTATGAAGTAAAAACAGTGATACGTGACGCCCTCAATGGTAGTCTTTCGTTTGTGGGTTTTAACAGGAAATAAGCATCTAAATTATGATAATAGGGTGTCTAAAATTTAAATGTGAAACTTGTCAAATTGGTGTTTCTAGCGTGTCCTCAGGCTAATTGCTCTCTGCTTGTAGGTCAGGGAGTGGACATGCCTCTGTCAGAAACAGGTGTGCAGCAGGGAGAAGCCGTGGGAAAATACCTCAGAGACGTCAAGTTCTCCAAAGTCTATGTTAGTAACCTGCAGCGAGCTGTACAGGTAAATTACATGTTTGTTGTTTGAGTTTTTGCATTCATTGTTTAAGAAATGCAGTTATGTAAAAAAAAAAAAAAAAAAAACATTCGCTCCCTTAAAGAATTTAGAATTGTGTTTATTTATATAGCACCAATTCACAACATGTCATCTCAAGGCACAACTCAGGCAATATGGTATAAATACTAGAAAAGCAAACAGAGAGCGCAGACCTCTACCAAGAAGCAAATTGTGCACCATATTGGGACTTACACCTATAGCTGAAACTCGCACATGATCTGGATCATTAGCAAATGTAAACAAACTGTTAATTGGCATGAGGTGCACCTCTGGTATAAAAATTATAAAAAAATAAACACCCAAAACATAATATCCATTCATTAGTTTTTAATTGATCCTGCTGGAAAACCAACAACGCTCCTTTTTCTTGTAATTTGGTTTTCAGTAATATACCTCCAGACTTTTTGAGTCCGATGCTGAGGCTGTCAATACTCACTGCCGCCACCTTCTGGATTAGTAGTGAACTGCCAAGGTTCTCATCTCACAATGTTAGAGAATATTTTTAAAATTTCTTATGTCTAGATTATAATCAAGACGCAAGATTTTAATGCATTGTTCCTTTGCATGAGAAACACCTCTAATAAAAATTTAATAAAAAATTTGTACATAACTTTTAAAGTTATTCTTTTTACAGATAGATGGACAAACTCAAACCTAAAAACATAACATACTTAGTGGAGGTAAAAATGGTTTCTCTTGTAATCCATGATTTAAAATGTTTACAAAAAGAAACCCTGAATCTACTGAAATGGGACATGTATGGCAGCATGAAGCAAGGCACATCTTAAAAAGCAGTACTAGAGATAGACCAACACATCAACTACATGGTATTTTTTGGCCGATGTTGCCATATTTTTGTTGTGTTAGGTGATACTTGCGTGCATTATTAAATCTCAAGGAGCTCATCCTTTTTTGATGTTTAGATTGATTTGTTAATTATTTTCCATTAAAGTTAGGAGCTGTGTAACATTTTTTTTGTCTTGATAACAACTTTATCATGTAAATGGTGGAAGGAAAAGCCTTATTTTCTCCCAAGAGGCAGCCCCAAGAAATCAGCATTACATATCAGGGATTGATTAAACGGATGTCTAAATCATTCGATTTCTAAGCAGTAGACCTTCTACCCATCTAAATAAATTGATAACCATATCAGAAACAGTAAGTGAAGCAGTGTTGTGACCTCATACAGGCTGTGCATGCTTAGAAGGCCTTCAGTGTTGCTTTAATTAAGAAAAGACATCTGCAAGGTGGAGCCCAAAGGGATGTAAAAGATGAAAGACAAGTTTATGTCTTTAAATGGGCGTTGGTTGGTCTGGATAGCTTTCTTCTTTCATAATGAAAACATCTGAAAAAATCATGTTGTATTTTCAGGTAATCTTTGTCTTTTGTTAAAATCAGTTTAAAATGTTTTAAGTTTGATAAAAAGCGAAAGCTTTAGAAATCTGTGAGACAGCGGGATATTTTTGCAGGACTTCTGATACTCGTGGATTAGTCCAATAAAGCAGGATTCTTGTTTTTATCCTTTTGACCCTATCCTTCACATCCCCATGCCAACAGCTGCAGAAAATCAGTCTATACTCATGCATATCTCATTAGTAAGACAGAAAACAGGATGATGACTCTCACATGAAATTGCTGTGTGGGCATTCATGATTTGGTGGTGTTTGACTCACTGATGCTGACCGTAAATGCATGTCTTAATATGCATTTAAACGTTGAACCGTTTGATTTCCAGTATATTTGCCCTTTTTTTCCAGACGGCAGAGCTAATCCTGAAGAACAACACTCACTGTTCTGGAATGGAGATGGTTTCAGAGCCTTTACTCAGAGAACGGGTATGATCCACTCACTGTAATGTTGGGGGGGAAAAAAACAACAAACAGCTGGACTAGTTAGATGATGTTTCCTGGATTTGGATTTGAACCGAATTGTTTTTGACGCAGGGTTTTGGTGTCGCTGAAGGACGTCACAAAGAAGACCTGAAGAACATGGCGAACGCTGCCGGTCAGTCATGCCGTGATTACACGCCTCCAGGAGGAGAAACTTTAGACCAGGTGAGTTGGACAGCATGTAGATCAGGAGTATTTCTTATCAAACAGTGACACCTACTGGTAATATTTGGGTATTACAACATTACAACCTAAATTTCCCCAGAAAACACTTTTTTTTAAAACAGAATAGTACCGAAAAACTGAATTGGGTGAAATTGAAATGTAATATTTGAGCTTTGTTTAAATAAGGAGCCTTAATTCAGTGTTTTATCTCATTTTATTATACCATAAATACGATCTTATTTTTAGTGTTGACAGCTTTTCAATCTGGTTTATGCAAGCAAGCTTAGTTATGTTTAATTTGAAGTCATGGTCCTAATTTTTATGAGGTGACCTTTAATAGTCACACTATTGCAGTAGAACACATGAACCCAACAGACTAGGCTGGTCAAAATCTCTCTATGCTGCAGTTTGAAATATAAAGCAAGAAATTAACACTTGGGGATTTTTTTCCATTTAGCAAGGTGCTGCTTGATATGAAAGGTTTCAGAACTAATTGGTTGGATAAAAACACAAATAATAGAAATTTCTAGTCAAATTCCTGATTTTAAATCCAATCTTACAAGGATGTGAAGGTTGAACTTAACACTTTCTAGTCAGACTGAGCCTTTGTAATTATGGGCTAACAGAATCAGATAAGGTATTAAACGAGGGGACTCTATATTCTTAAACAAATGTTTGCCACATCCAAAACAATACAAACAGTGCCTTATTTTCATACCTCTTTGTGTTATCAGTCAAATAAAATCCCACTAAGGTTTTGATTTTGACCAGTGTGTTCTTTATGGGGTCTAAAAATTGCTGTAATGCAGCGTAAAGATGCACCCGTACTCGTCATAAAACAGGTACAAGCTCAACCACTAATGTTTGCAGTTAGAACTCAGCTGTGAGCAGATGATGTTTTGCTCTTTGTATGAAAGAAAAAAATAAACAATTTGAGTTTCATTTTCTCTCAAAAGCATCAAAACCAAAAACTTCTTAGGTTTTTTTTCCCCTCCTCAATCATGTTAAACTTGTAGCCCCCATGTCACTTACTTCCAGGTGAAGCTGAGATTCAAAAATTTTCTACAAGCCCTTTTTAAAGAAATGCTGGATATGAGTGGCTCCTCAGGACAGGAAACTCCCTCAGTGGCACTTTCTGCAGAAGACGCCGCAATGGCCAGCGGCGATCTCCAGGGGGCATCGGCCCATGTTCTGGTGGTAAGCCATGGCGCTTACATCCGGGTGGCCATTAGGCACCTGGTGGAGGACTTAAAGTGCAGCCTGCCTGCTGGAGTGAAGATGTCACAGCTGTTTTCGCCTTGTCCCAACACGGGGATCAGCCGCTTCGTTATCACTCTGAGCCGAACCGAGTCAGGTCCGGTGCTTTCTGCCGCTCGCTGTCTATTCACCAACAGAAAAGACCACCTGGAAAAGCTACAAGAACCGGAGTAGGAGACGAATGACAGAGTAGGACCTCAGCAGTGGCACAGGAAACTCAAATCAACAGTGTTTTCTTAATAATCAGCATGAAAATCACTTAGAATCACTGTATTAAACTAGTTCCTTCACACATTACAGAGGGACGTATTTCATTTATAAACAGGTAATTTAGTTACCTCTTTTATAACTTGATACCAAAGTAGAGCCTATTTATTCCGTCTTTGTGTGCAGATATTCTTTATTGTGCTGTGCAATAAAAGTTGGAGCACTGAATTGTGAATTAGGGTAAAACCTTCTGTAAAACAGACTTTGTGTAAAGACACTATAAATGGGTATATCTGTGAAGATTCTCAGTCATCCATCACTATAAATGGGTGAAAGGTGTGGCTGTAATTTTTGTTTATTGGGTATTAAATGATTAGTTTTGGTGAACTGAAAAGCTTTATAAGCTGAAAGCTTACATTAAAACCTGACCTCATTGTCTTGAAGACAAAATGACTAAAGTATTCCCATCATTGGGCATAAATTTGACTTTCAGCTCTAAGAAAATGGTTTAAGACATGTTTGATTATTTTAAGAGTTAAGCTGCTTTTCGTTCATTGTCCTGATTCTGTACGACTGTCGATGCTCATTGTAGAAATTCGTATTAAGCCTTAAATATAAATTGTGTTTACTGCTTAAGCAGTATAATCATAAGGTATAAGAAACAAAAAAAATCTAACTTTTAAATTGAGTGCATTTATTCAGCAGGAGAATAAATAAACAAGAGATTTATTTTTCACAGTAGATGCAGCCATACATAAAAGCTTCAAGCAGTAAAAAGTATTTGATGTAGTTTAAGGAAAAAAAAAAAACAACCTAAAACTTTAACCCCGAAATAAAAAGACATAAAAGTACCAGGCATCTTTAAAAAAAAAACAATTTTTATAGATTTTTTTTCAGGATTACAGTAGATTGCTGTGCCTAGCACATATGTTAAAAAATAAAAGGAACAAAAACAATTAGCAACAAACTACAAAAGTTTTTTCTCCTTATTTTACAGAGGAATCGACATAATGTATGAAGCACGCGCCTGCAGTCAAGCTCAGGAATCAGGCTTTCTGCTATACATTCAAACATAAAAGGACATATTCCTTACCTTCACTTAAAAGAAAAATTAAACAAAGGGACATGTACAATCTGCCGATGATCCAGTGAGGTTTTGTTCAAGAAGTAAAAACTAAATCTAGCATGAAAGAAAACAATACGGCTAAACTTTTAAGTGTTTTTCTCAGTCTGGTCCTAAATTATTCTTAACTTGCATCCAAATATCGAAGTTGTTCTTTCCGTGTCCTGATCTATGATTTTGAAACCAAACCTGACTCTGAGCTGGTTAGTTTTTCCAGAATGAGTTACCATGGTGACAGATTAAGCTCAGAATCAAAGCTGTATAACACTTCTGGCCCATAGGATGTTTTGGTTGCCTTTGTTTCCCCGATACGATTTATAGTTTTAGTAGCTGAGATGCTACATGTATCAGAACATTTATGAGAGTTAAATTATAATGTGAAAAAAGTTGGTAAAATGTGATTATACTTCATCTGAATAGAATTACATGTTGGTGTGATGTCATTCAGCTCCACCATAAATCTGCTAATTCTCAAATTGGTGCTGTTTGAGTCGCTGCATTAAAAGACGTTTACTCTCCCACCATGTTTTCCTAAAGGGGAACGCCGTTTTTTTTTTTTTTTTTTTTACTCTCCCACCATGTTTTCCTAAAGGGGAACGCCGTTTTTTTTTTTTTTATATATTACATTGGGCCTTGATTTTCGTTATTACATCATGTTCTACTCTCCCATATGAGTTTTGTGTCATTTGGAGCCGTTCTGAAGATACTCAGTTAGGTTATATCCAAGTAACGTCTTCCTATGGGCAACGAGTTGAAGGCACAAACTAAACTGTTCATCATTTATTCTTTATGGTACGCCAGCATTAATAACATGTAGGCCAATCACTGTCCCCCAGACATCCGCGGTTATATTTTTTATATTTATATTTTTTTAAAACAAAGCGGAGTGTGTGTGATGTCTTCCCAAAGCACCGGCACCGTGTGCTTTGGGAAGAGCGAACTAAGATGGAGGTTTGGTCCTCAGTCCTCAGGAAAAAGATGTTGTAAATGTTAACGCATTTAGCAGACACTTTTATCCAAAAAGGTGATACAATTTTACAGTTATCAATATGACAATAAGTTCTCTAAAGGAAAATCCTTGGTCAGAATTAGTGGTGAGTAAGTAAAGAGTAATACAGGGGATATTGATAAGAGTTAGGCTAGGAGATGCTCTATGAAGAGGTGAAGAGGGGATCACATTTCCTAAAGAAAGACAGGGATTCGATGACAATCATTGCTGTGACATTGACATTGCTGACTAAAGTGGCTGATTTGTGACATAAGTCTTTGCTAGAGGGTTCAGGTAGATGGGAACTGTACCCTTCAGTCCTTTGTAGGCTAGCATCAGGGACTTGAATCTGATGCGGGCAGCCAGGGGTAACCATTGAGGCTGGTAAATACCATGTCCCAGGAACTGTGATGCGGCATATCTGTAGGGTGTAACATCAATAACTTGTTAAGATGCCAGATAATTTATATTACATTGGGTAATATTTGCAATCGG